GGAAAACTTTTTTATTTTACGAGAGATCTACACGAAATTTAGTATATGATACTGCACAGAGCATCGCTATAATGCACATATTTCCTTCACCTAAAGGTGTCGTAAACTGTTTTTTTTTTTGTACTAATTATTTAATTTCTTTTAATTAATTTTTATTTTTTTTTTATTTTGCACTTTCCTAAATAATTATGTTTTTTTTCTAGATGTACGTTTGTGAGGAATGCGGTCACACGACTTGCGAGCCCGAAGTGCACTACATCCACTTGAAAGAGAATCATCCCTACTCACCCGCTTTGTTGAAGTTCTACGACAAGCGTCACTTCAAGTTCACAAACTCGCAATTCGCCAACAACTTGCTGGGTCAACTGCCAATGCCGGTGCATAATTAAAAGTGTATGCTACATACATACTCACACATATATTTATAACGTAGTTAGTTCAATTGACACATTTGAGTTTTCGAAAAACTGCCCATATACGGAGATTATTATATATTCTGCTTACCTTTTACCACTTGTACTATATAAACATTATTGAAAGCGCGTATTTCATTTAAGTTCTTTTGGCTAAAAATTTTTATTGTGAATTTTTTTTCATACACCCTAAATTTACTACAAAACATGTTTGCGCTTCAGACCGGCTGCGTGGCGTTTGCTCGCCTTGTTGGCAGCGCGTCTGCATTGCAAACATTCATACATACATACTTACATTAAGATTAAGAATTTTCGCATATTTATTGAAAAAGCAAGACATATGGTTAGGCAAAATGTTTAATTTTTAGCGTATACTTTTAGCTATTGTATATTTATTAGAGAATTTGAAGTCATATTTAAGTTGCTAACACTGCGTAACTAATTCTCATTACCTTTAAGTTTGTAAAATATTGGGATTTTCGCGTTGTAAAGTTGGTATAAGATAATTTGGCAATCGCCGCTGCCTTAAGCTTAAATATAAAAGTGTATATACATATATTATTAGCAGATATTAGCCACGAAAGCATTAAACCGCTATTTTAGCTTAGCTTGTCTTTTACAGTTATTTCGTATAAGTTATTTATAGTTTTTCCCATGGCAAAGCATTGAAATCACTTTCGTACTTTAATATATTTTGAATTAAAAAATTTTTCTTTACTAATTTCAAGTTGAACACCCAGTTTATTAGTCTTATAAAGTATCATGTACATTTCTTCCTTTACATTTTTCATATTCTATTACAAAAATTCCGTACGCTTTAGTTATAAAGAATATTGTTAATTTTTTTTTTATACATTTTTAATTTTTTTTTTACTTCGAGTTGAAGTTAATTTATTGCAAATAAATGAATTAATGAACATAAACAGCAACAACAACAAGTGTAAAGAGGCGTATTTACAATTTAAAAAACATAAATATATTACATTAAGCAACAAAAGCAGTTAGCTCCACTTGATTTCATTGTAAATTTGTGCAGTTGATGGCGCACATTTAATTTCCTAGCATTAAGTCCAAACTAAATTTAAATTTAAAAAAAAATACAAAAATATGAAAATATTTTTCTCGCTGCTTTCTGCTGCTCATAAATGAGGCAATTGCGTTGAAGAGCATAAAAACTTTGCAATTGTGTTAAGCTAAGCTTTAATATATAAATAATATTTAATATACAAAAAAAAAACGAAAAACAAAAACAAACTTTTAGTTTTGTAATTTAGCGCCTAAGCGATTGGCGAGAGTAAACGAAAATAAGTGAAACCACCAATTTGTACTGATTTGAATCTCTTTTGTTTAATTACTACTTACTTATATATAAACATACACATACATACTTATAAAATAACGTGTTAGCATAATTTTTTGCTAGAACATTTTTTTTATTTTCGGTTTTGTTTAATTTTCCTAGTAATGCATTAATTTTAAGTTGAAAAAAGCCTACACCTAACACACACGAGCAGTTTTAAGCAACAACACATACACGCACACATGCACACATATTATTAATATACAGAGTGTAATTAATAAAGGCTTTATTTACGCTAAAAAAACATAAATTGAGTCAAATATATGCTATTTAATTTGTTAGAAATTTTGTTTATGAGCAGCAACAACAAGAGCGCGTTGACAGCAGTGCAGGAGAGAACGCGCCGTAAACCGGGAGGTGGATTTTAGAAGAGAAAGCGAAGAGTGAGAAGTGAAATGCTTAAAATTCGATTTCAACTTTTTTTGAAAATTTTTTTTTTCAAATCTATTCAAAATAAATTTTTTCTACAAAGTTTTTTTTTCAAATCTATTCAAAATAAATTTTTTCTACAAAATTTTTTTTTTTCAAATCTATTCAAAATAAATTTTTTCTA